GAGTAGCCCAACTTAGATCTTCCACAGCACGTTGACCAAAGTAATCCTTGAGAAGCCCAAAGTAGCTTTTTCACAGCATGTTCACCAAAGAGATCCCGGAGTAGCCCAAAGTAGCTCTTCCACAGCACGTTCCCCAGAGTGATCCCTGAGTATTCAAGCTAGCTTTTCCACAGCACGTTCACCAAGGTGATCTCTGAGTAGCCCAAAGTGGCTCTTTCACAGCACGCTCGCCAAACTGATCCCTGTTCACCAAAGTAATCCCTGAGTAATTCAACGTAGCACTTCCACAGCACATTCACCAAAATGACCTCTGAGTATTCACACCACATTCACCAAACTGATCCCTGAGTAGCTAAACCTAGCTGCCTAGCTCTTCCACAGCACATTCACAAACTGATTTCTAAGTAGTTCAACTTAGCTTGTCCACAGCAACCACAGTTTTTAGTAGCGCAACTTAGCTTCTCCACAGCACATTTACCAAAGAGATCGCAGGATAGTTGTAGACTTGCAATGTACTTATCAAAGCAGTTTTTTCCCCACCCGTAGGACTGTGGGGCTGTTAGATTTTAAGAACTTTGGACTTCAGTAGACTCGCTACTTCTGCACATCCACCAGAGTGGTCCCAGCGTAGCTCAGAGCAACCCAAAGAACACAGCACATCCACCAGAGTGGCCCACAGTGGCCCAGAGTAGCCCTTACACAGCACATCCACCAGAGTGGCCCCGAGTAGCCCAGCGTAGCCTTTACACCAGCACATTCACCAGAGTGCTCCCAAGTACCAGTTCCACAGCATATCCACCACAAGTTGACTTGGCAGGGATGTGGGGTTGCCAGGCATTAAAAAATCGAAGTTCAGAAACCTCACAAGTAAGTATTCGATGTGTGGTTTTGTTTTCAATAAAGAATCCTTTTCGCGCCGAACCGCTTTTCTCTTGTGAAGACCAATTCTTTGAGGGTGGGGAATTTCGAAGTAAAGTAATTTTGTTTTTGGTTTTGTTGATTTTGGAGTATTTCCTCAAAGCTGTTATAGGCGTGGCCCTCACAAAATTGATCTAACAATAGCTGAAAATCTAGGTTTTGGTATGTTTTGGTGATGTTTTAGCCAAACATCATTGTAAAGCACAATGTATCCCTTCTAATTAAACTGTTATAGGCCTGGTCCTCACAAAATTGATCTAAAAATAGTTCACAACCTAGGTTTGGGTGATGTTTTAGCCAAAAATCATGTAAAACACAGTGTTTTTGCTATTGTTTGCATGAAAAGCATCTCCCAGGAGCACCCGTATTGAAGAAAAAACGGTACCAGTTCGGCAGCGATCTGAAAGGTGGGCGCAAGTCATGGGTAGAGTCTGGAGCTGGTGTTGCACATGGCTTTGGTTTGTGTTTGCAATGAGAAGAGAAGGACGGTCGAGACTGGATGCGGCAGAGGAGCCGCTGGAGTGATGTGACCAAACCGCAAATCCTACGACAGTCAGCAGGCAGGTGATGTCCAAGAAGGAATTATAGAAGAAGGAAAGAGATAGCCATTGGAGATCTTCGAAGTGCGAGGAAGGCAAAAGTCCAGGAGTGGTGGAAGAAGATGAAGAAGCATCAGCATGCTGGGAAGGAAAACCTTGCTGTTTGGAATGGAAGTTAGAGATTGGGGCATTGAGACCATTGGTATCAGACATCTAAGATCACCTAAGCCTGTTTTGTAGGTACGCCGATGCTTCCATCGTCAATGTCACCGGCAGGTGCGCGGAGACTGATGATCTTGAAGTGCCTCATTTGGGTTGGAGTCGTGTTTTTGCAAATTGTTTGGGGGAAACCCTGGTTGATGAATTTATGGCCACGACTAACCCGTCGTGGGCATCATCTATGTGACAAGAAGCTACTGGGTTGAAGGCCATCGCTAGTAGGTTGGAGGCCATTACTACTAGCAACAAGAAGTTACTAGTAACAAGTATATTATATAATATTATATATATAACCCATCGCCGTTTGCTTCGCCATGGACTCGGATGTTTTCGGCAGTAACTCGGTGAACGTCTTCCTCGGCATCGGATTGCCCTGGTCCATTGCGGCCATCTACTGGACAGCTGGGAGCCTAGCTGGCGCACATGGTCACACCTTGTACGAGGTCATCGCAGAATTTCAGAGAAACTAAAGTGCTACAGCCTTTCGTGCAGGATCTTCAGACATGGTCACAATAATTAATTGCCCATTGCAAAGCAGGAGGAGTTTCTGTGAGATGTCAGAGACTTTGGGCACCATTGCACCATGAGTCCCGTGTTTGGTAAGACCGGGTCGATCGCCAAGGTCGCAGGCCCTACTGACAGATGGCTGGAAAGCTACGAGTCTTACCTAGGCACGAGACGTCATCACGACGTCACGAGATGACTGGGATTTCTTGTTCCGGTGATGTTTGGAGAAACCTCCACAGTCGAAATGTAAATTACAATAGAGGCCATTGTTTAAAACCTATGACCCACAGTTCAATTGTTGAGTCTACAACAGACCCCCTAATCATGGCACACGCATCATTGTTTATAGAACAACATAGAAAAACATTGTTGTCGTGCTCCTGAATCAAACACTACCACCATACTGTTACTATGCCACACAATTTTCTGAGCAGACTAGAAGCTAATGTCCGCATCTTCTAATCACCAGCTGATAACTGCTTCGACTTTACATGACTTGACATGTTGTCACACTATGGGGGATTCAACCTTGCTCTTTGCAACCATGGGAAGCACGTGGAATCAGCGAGCACGTTGTTTGCTTTGTCTCAGACAACTAGGCCTGCTGAATGTCGACAGCGATGCAACGCGCCGGAAACGAGGCGCTTGGCCGGAGGGTGCCTTCATCGTGCAGGGCGGCGATTTGGCCTTCAGCGTAGCTGTCTTCAACGCAGCTCGGCACAGCATCGGCACAGCTCGGGGTGATGGATTTCGGGAGGCCGAATTGCTTCCTTAAAGGGCTTTCCTTCAGGACCGAATTGCCTTAAGAATCTAGTCTAGTATAGTCAGTGTAGTGATGTCACCTGTTTCACTTCCACCTTGACTTAGTATTCAGGGCATGGCACACTTGTTTGGCAGGTTTGGGATTTTAGATGTTGTGGAAGCTTATTGAGATATGAGCAGCCCACAACTGCTGTTGAAGGCCTTCGCAGTGGATGAACTCGAGACATACTGTAATTGTTCAATATTGTTCAACATTTTCACACACAACACTGAGATCTGCAGCATCCGCTTCAACGAAATGCTTTTGATGCTGTGCAACTCTCTAGAACCCTGTCCTTTTTTGTTGGATTCACCATGATTCAGGTGTCTGCAGCTGTAGGCGCGCCTGTTTGTATGCAACGTGGGATTTTCTCGAGTGTAGTTCGGACAGGTGCAGGTACCTTTGCGAGTAGAGGAATATGTTTAGTCAGAGTGCAATATCATGGTGACCATGGTGTCAAAGTTGGTATAATTAGCAGATTGCAAATATGGCCCAAATGCGGCGTTTCATTTGCGAGTTGGCTTTCTTGTTTTTGAGGAGAGAGTTTATGCACATATGTCCAAAAAGAGAGTATTCTGTCTTCTTATACTACAGCAAAGAAAATTACCCTCCAAGTAGGAGGTGCCTGCTGTGTCCAGCTTTGCTGATCATCCACCTTCGACGTCAGCGTCTTTCCGGAGAGTCCGGAGACCCCGGACTGGAAGGTTTACTCATGAAGTGCCAAGGATTTGATTCATGATCGATGATGGATTCAGCAGTGTCATGTCTCGATTCGCAGGTTCTTGATGATTCGCAGGTTCTTAGTCCTCGCCGATTGGCAGGTTCTTTGTTTCAGAGATTGAACGATTCAGAAGGCTCCCTGGGTCCTCACCAGTCCGAGGGGTGAATCTGAAATGATTGACCAAGTGCTTCCTCACCACTCCTTTCCAGCCCAGGCTGGGAGGGCCCAGTGGCATGAAGGCGCGGGGATCGTCTTGGTCAACGGATGTTGGGCGAATCGTAGGATACCGGAGGATGGTCTGGCCTACGTGGCGTTTGATGAATGCCCTGTACCATGTTAATATGGTGTACACTACAAGAAAAAACAGTTGTTCAAGAAAGCGTGAGCTATCCTGCGTCCGGTAGTAGCTAGCGTCTTAGTAGCTAGTAGCTTGTTTACTCCCTTGCTTAATTAATTGAGTAGGCGCCTACTTAATTCAGTAAGGAGGCAGGGCCGAGGCTTACAGACATACATTAAAGGATTCATGGATGACCAGACGCCGTGGCTCCCACTCTTGCCTTGCTACCCGCAGCTCGCCTTTGGCTAGGTGTTGTCAGGCATCCTGCTCATCAGCCTTTGGGTTTTCTACATTGCCCTTTCGATTTGGAAGATCAAGTCGCAAACCACAGATGTTGGCAAGCAGGCTGGTTGTGTTGCCGTGGGTGTTTGTGTGTGTAATGTTATGTCCATTGGATGTAGGGACGGAGGTGTTGTTGGCAGAAGGCTTGCTTCTATCAGAAGGTGGTTTGCGTGAAATGATGTCGCATGTCTTGTCCAGATTGTCGCTTGCGGTAATAGCCAACCAAACCCAACGCAGTGGTTCGCAAGCCTTTTGCATTGGAGGTACGAGCAGATGTGCAGTAAATCATGTGAATCCCCCGTCCCCACCGCACAAAATCAGTGTTTTTTTTCTGTATGAGAGGATTCCAAGTTCCTTTTCATTTCTGTGTTCAAACAGGGATGCAAGTTGTGTAGAAAGCTGTCTCCTATGTGAATTGTATGCAGAGCATTTTGTATTTGTGGATGAAGGAGATGAGAGTCCTTACCAAGGCTTTAGTGCGCTGCTCAACTAGAGAGCGTTACAAGTAGAGAATCGCGTGATATACCATGGTATACCTCATTCTTGAAATTCGATGACACAGTGTGTTGCTTTATGCTTCAAGGGAAGCTGAGTAACAAGAACAACATGCAGCCAGTGGTCACTTTCGTGAACTCACAGTAATTAGTCGCGTTCATGCAGGACTGGTCGAAAAGCCTCGCCTGGGTAACTGAAATTAAGTCTTCTCTGAACACATTCTGCCTTCTCGATGGGTTGTGTGATCCATCTTCTTCTTTTTCTCAGCTTCAAAGCGGAGATTTCCCCCCCCAGCTTTGTTCAATGCTTTCCCTGGTTTTCCGATGTTTGGCCGGCGAAAAAGCACCGCTCGCTCGTCGTAGCGGTCGGCAGATCTTCGCCATTTTCATCGGCTTTTGCAGCTTAGAGAACCTTGCAACCTGGCGGATGTTGGGTCATGGCAGTGGGTATCTGTGAGTTCCTATGGGTCAAACCAAACAACCAAACCAAGACAATCCAAAACATACCAAAACCATCCGAAACCACAGCTGGTCGACATCCCCGTTGGCGGACGAGTCTGTTCATTTTTCCTGAAAAGTTCTACTTCTTGTCGCCCGTTTGACGACGTGGCGCGGTTCGCGATTTGCGGCCCAGGTGCTTCTGCTTTGTTGGGTCCTTAGAGCATTTAGATAAGCGACAAGCAAGCAAGGACCTGTCGTCAAAAATATTCATATCTTCACTGCTGATCTTGCACGGAATCGAAGTACTCTACACTGCACTGGAAATCCCGATGAGAACTTTCTCCAAGTGGTCCAGGTGGTGGATCTCCAGACTGCCAGGCAGGTCGCGAGGTCCTATGTGTCAGATAATCCAAGGCTGTGCGTTGATGATGAGATTTGGAACTACCTTCTTCACAGGAAGGTGGGCAGACCCAGGGAGCATCAGGGACCCAGGTGGCGACCAGTTGGAGGTCTTCCATTCGTCAGTAGACAAATTGATGGAAGAACGCGAAGCCTGACAGAGCCTATGAAGATATGTGAAGCACAGTCCATTGCCATAGTCTATGCTAATTGGGGCACAAGCAAAACTTCTCCAATCTGGGCACAAACCCCTGATCACTGCATCCAGACTTTCGACTCTTTAGGCAACCAGAAGCAAGTGATGAGGAAGCTGCGTGGAAGCTCAAATGTGGGCTGTGAGGGTTCGACAACCAAAAAAACATTGATTTTTATGGGTGTTTCTTCTTGATGCGATCAGCTCATCAACCAGACAGCTGGAGGGAGCGGTGGCGTTTGGTCATCAAATCATGGTGTCCCAAAGTACTTGTTTCGACTCAATCGATTGTAGGAATGCAATGCTTCTCAGCAGCTGAAAGGTGTCGTCAAAACCAGCGGAGGGAACCTCCTACTGTAGTGCTCAACTCCTTTTCCTGTTGTGTTTTTATGAGCAGAGTTGTCTGCTAGACATGGAGGCTTCCCCGCATCAACACACGGATACATTATATAGGGCATGATATGGTGACCTTGACGGCACAAAAGTAGATAAAACTTATTGAACAAACATGAAGAAGCCGTTAAGCAGGGCATCCGTTCAGTGTGGTGCTTCCTTGTTTTGGAACACCACAAAACTCACGCCTGGGTCTTCACGGCATCTACCGGGTACCGTTTATTTCTGCTGAGGCCAAGCTTTGTGACCCCGTGGGCAAGGATCTTGCGACTTGGACTGGTGGTCGGTTGGTTGGAAGGTGGGTTGAAGGCGAAGGAGGAAAGGCACAATTAAAGTGCGTGATGGGGGGAAGAGCCATGAGAGATGTCGTTGTATCCATCTGGGGAAGAGTTCGGGTTTTGAGGTTCCACCAATGTTGAAAAGAAGCCCCAGCATTCTGATTCATGGGCAGTCCACCACTTGTGAGACGTGCTGCAGTTACGCCATTTAAATATGTGTTGGCCGGGCTGCGGGAAGTGTATACTGTAATCCCTATGGCATTTCAATGGGTGTTTGCACGATGTGCAGTTCACTGGTGGTTCAACTTCATTTCTCAGATCCACGGGTGCATTGACGCATGTGTTTCAGCCATCTGCTGTGTTTCAGCTGACTTTGCTACACCTGGTTGACTTACAAGCGGATGAACCCTTGGCGGATGTTAGTACAAACCTCAACCATAACTCGACTCACTTGGCATGCTCACATATGTCCGCTGAAGCCTTCGTCCAGCCTAGGCCACAATGGACGATCTAAGACACGTTGGTGCAAGACCAGGCGTTGACATTTGCATCCGAATGGGAGTGCTCAAACAATGAGCACTGGAAGCGGGGTGGTCATGGGTAGTCACTTGTGAAGATTCTGGGTATAAAGTGACTTTGGCCTGGTCAGTTGTCAAGTGGTTCAATGCACTTGTGAAGCCGCCATTTCGCCATGCCACGATTTGGCTTCGTTCAGGCTTGTCTCCTGTCGCGCCTCCGGCCTTCACTGTGAAAGAGGCCTGCAATGTTGCCATCTCGATGAAACTGCTCCCAAGTCCTGTCAAAATCTGAGCCTAGTAACAAAGGGCATCGCTACGCTACTAGTAACAAGGGTATTACTACTAGTAGAAAAAAACGCTACGAACGTAGCTCCTGGCATCGCTACTAGCGGCTGCTGTTTGTGCAGGTTTGCCCTGTGTTAAAGCATGTTGACGCCCAAGGTGCATGGCCGACGACCGGAATGCTATGGGCCCCTTGGTCGCGATGGTGAGTTCCAGCAATGCTATGGACCTTCGGAGATGCAAAACACGTTTTGACCCTACACATGTTAGTTCAAGGCCCAGAGCATCAGGAAGAAGCCATGCTTTTCCTTGGACTTGTTTTTTTTTGGCAAGTGTAGGTTGAATTGTTACCTTGGAAAGCCAAACTACTTTATGTACCTGGAAAAAGGCAAGCCTTGATTGTCAGTTGGGAATGCTCATGTTGACGTCGACTTGGATTCAGTCGTGGCCACACAACCGAGATGGCATTCAAGCAGAACCATTTGTCCCACACCTCATGATGGGTTTCTCATGGCTTCTCAAATTTGGAACATTGAGGTAGCATGTTGCTTAGGAGAGCTCTGACTTTCCTTGATGGGTACTTGTAGTAGCTCTTGAGGTTTCCAGATGGTCAAAAAAGATCAATAGGCACCTGTAGAAAACAACGGCCAAGTCACGTCTGACATGCAGAACATGCTGTTTGGGGATACCTGTTTGGTTGCAAGCGTTGAAAAATACCGTTTCACCAAAACAAGACATTGGACCGCCCCTCCTGGCCACCCTGTCCCTGTGAAGAGGCCACGTAGACCAATCGCTCGCAGGCGACAAAACAAAGCAAACGACATCTCTTTCACCAGTGCAGCATTTGCCCCTCGGGTCGCAGACGGAAGAGAGTGTGAGATTGTGCAAGAGACGGGTATTGAGCTGCTGATTGTTGGACTGGTGCTGGTTTCTTCATGAATCAGATGCACCATTAGGAGTTGTTTGTCAAAGGAGCATGCGTTAGAGTATCCAACATGGCTGGGAGAAGAACATCGCAGTGTCTGGCGGTTGTCAGGTGGCCTAACAGACCACTGGCGCTTCTCTCTCTCTCTCGGCTTCCCAGGTGTGTTTGGCCGCAAAGCGGCTGCAGCGTTCCGATCTCAGAGGGGAATCTCCTCAGCTGCATCGATGATCGACGTATTTTTGGCTTGTTTTTTGCCTGACTTGGAATGCTGATACAAAGACAGATACTCATCTGCGTCTCAGCCAGAGACTCCAAGCTCCACCTCAAGATAGGAATTATGGTGTGAAAAACATGTGCTCCAAGTGATACTGTAGAAAATCAACTTGGAAGCCTTGTGATCCATGATCTTCATGATTTGCTGCGGACGTTGGACCCTCCAAAACCGCGCCAGTCGAGCCAAGGCGCTGCACGGAGAGTGGCCGAACGACTTCATGGCAGGGGGGCCATGACACGAGGACACCCAAGTAAAACTGGGTGAACATCTCTCAATCAATGGATCTCAGGTCTTTCAGGACGGTTGGGAGAACCCACTCATGCAAGAATTATTTCTGAGAAGTCCAACGAAGTCCGTGACATGAAGCATTTTCTAATCAAGTTTCTTTCATGAAGCTGATACTTCACTTACTGAGTTTTAGTTTGGGTTTGGTAAGTCCATAAACAGGTGAACACCTGTTCTCGAACCTACCCAAAATCGACCAACACATCCAGGTCAAAGTCGTCGGACTCCGCGAGGTTTGCCGCCAGTGCCACCACCCATGTTCCCTCCGTCCGGTACATTAAGCCCCCCAGCCGGGCAACTCAGAGATTTGTGCTAGTAGCTTCTTGTTACTAGTAGTAAGGTGGCCGGGAGCCCCTAGTAGCATCCTTGCTCCTAGTAGCGATGCCAGGAGCCTTAGTAGCTTCTTGTTACTAGTAACTAGTAGCTTTCCTAACAGCAACATCTCTAGCTAAGCTAAGATCAAGAGAAAGTGGTGAAAAGTGGAGTCTACTTTCAAAGTCTACTCCCATGTTTTCGATGACCTGCTTTTTGTTTCAGTCCTTGATTTCGGCACAGAAGCCGCCTTCTTCGGAACAAAAGCACCAGCTGGAACGAGGCACCACACGGCGCAACCATTTCCAGGGTGCCGTCCTTCTATTCCATTGACTCGGAAGAAGGTGCCGAGCCAATCAGATGGGCGACGTGCCAAGCTGGTCAGCTGAATTCAAAAGCCCAAGTTGTTGTGCAAACTGGATGAACTCCTTTCCTCAACTTGTTCTTATTTGTGACACTGACAGCTGAGGGATGAAGTGCTAGAGTGTCGCTGTTCTTGAAATGGCCAGGAGGCACCATCTTGAACTGATACGGCCACACATTGAGGGAAAAACTAGATGCATGCATGGAGATTGTAATCAGCATTGCCTTGCAACACCCCCTGGCTTGGGGATCTATCACAAGAAACATATTAATTATACGTACTTTTCCTGACCTACACAGAACTTGCACGTTCACTGTGAGGTGCTACAGGTAGGCCCTCGATTACGGGACGGATGGCAGGATTGATCAGTGCGGAGCCTGGAATTTGTTAGGACGCATCAGAGTTCGATGCAAAGGCAAGCGATGGCTTGTGCGGTAATGCTCCCTTGCAAAAGCTCACAGAAATCATGAGAAACCACAAGCATCGGCAAGCACTTGCACCTTCTCCTTTGGAACTCTCTGATGGAGTTGATAGCAGTTGCTCCTTTAAGACAGCCGCTTCAGCAGAATGCGCCCCTGTTTGGAACATCGTGGAACAGCTTGTGTCAACTATTTTATGACACCCCTTGTGGTTTGGTAAGCCATGTTGCTGCATGGTACTACTCCCTTCTTTATCAGGTTGGTAACAATGATGTTCAACGCTGAAAGAACAAACTGCCCACAGAGCCCACTTTGTGCAATTCAAAAAAAAATAACAACAGACAGCAACCTTCTCAAATTGGCATCTTCTATTTACCAAAACCGAAGACATTTGTTGATCTTTATTGAAAGCTGTCGGGATGAAGTGCAGCTCAGGTGGCCACGCGGCTGACTGGGCGGCCCTTACTGTTGCAGGCTGGACTCAGGGATATTTACAGTAATATTTTTGAGTATCAATCTTTGAGTACAGTATCTTGAATATCTTGCATTGGTTGTTATTTTTGGCCATGGTTATCACCCATGTTTTCCACCACGTTCTTTGAGTCAAAGGTAAAGGACTAGGGGGACCACACCCCTTGTGAATGTCCGTGTACAACCTGGGAAGTTGTTGACACCGATCGCGGATTGATCAACCTCGCCAGTTCGAACCCATCCCCTCGCTACGCTGCGCTGCATATTGCGTGCGCCGTACCAGGCTTGGCAGCAGGGACCTTGGCGGACCCAAACGGGCCCCGCTTTTTGGGTTGACGTGCAGAACCATCACAAGGCAGGCGTGGCATTGACTTCGCTGTTCGACTTGTTGGTTCCAGAAAGGGAACTGGGGTCGAGCGTGGCATTGTCGACCTCAACAACATGGTCCCGCGCGCATAGACTACTGGACCTGGTTCTGATTGTTTTTTTGGCATCCCTTAGTGATTAGTCTTAGTCAGAACAGCTGTGCCAAGAGCTCAAGAATCTCATTCGGATCTTTTCTCGGAAAAGACATGCGTCCCAGGTTCTCACGTTTCCCACGACTTGCATCCAACGGTGAAATGACCAGCGGATGACCGTGAAACGGAGCACCCCGGCGATGGGACGGAGACATGTTGCAGCCTTCGTTCGGAGGCCTCGGCGCGTCTACCGTCATCTACCACAACTGATGCCATTCGTCTACCTCGTTTGGCCGAACTGTTGCGGCAAAGTGTTCAAGTTCAGCCCTTGCACACAGTCAGAGGGGGAGGCTATTTCTGTGAATTGGATGCAGATGGATGCAGGTTGTCCCAAACTTAACTTGATGATAACTTCAAGGTTCAAGAGGCCCCTATAATATAACATATATATACCATCCCATATCGTACTTATGGCTAGTTTAGACAGGGGTTTGCCATCAATGTAATTCATTGTTGGCGGCGATATCTCAGGTAGTATGAAATGTGTTTAGAACTCGTTCCTTAGCTTTGTGTCGGTGTTGACCATGTAAGAGGATAATAGAAGTGTCCCACGTTGCGCTCTGAATTGAGCATTACTTGCAGTTTTCAGAACAAAGCATCCTCTTTGCTTGGAGAAACATGCTTGGGTTCAGCAGTTGGTGTCCAACTTTGCCACAGAATCACAAGCAGCAGAATGTATCGTACTAATTATGGTAAGTTTGCATCACACCCACTCCCACTCCCTGGAGATTGAATCTCAAATAAAATTTAATGGGCTGGTTCATACTATAAGATCCAAAAGAGGAGTGCAGATACAGTTTGTCTTTCTTTTGTAGGCTTGGAATTGCTTTGATGCTTTGAACATCTTTGAAAGCTTCCAAGAAAAGTGCCTATCGTTTTGCATCATGCTTCACCTCAAACAGACTGGTGCCAATTTGGTTGAATGATTGTAAGATAATTACCCGCTTTGCCATCACGTGTACAGTTGGCGAAGCGTGTCATGCGTGTGTCAAACGGGCTGCCAGGCTGTCCTGCCTAAGACATCGAAGACATACTTTGTTTAAAGCCCGCTCCCCTAGTAGCGATGGCCTCCAACCTAGAAGCGATGGCCTCTTCCATACATTTGGTGTGACTGTAAGCCATGGACCAGTGAATTTTCAGAAATACGCGATGATGATGCCTCGAAGATACACAAACTTAATGCATGAAGTTTCCTTTTTTCAGGGTTGGGACCAGTCTCTCTCGGTTCTTTTCGGTCTGGATTTTCTCCCGTTGTCATCCGCCGGCTCGTTGGCCTTCAGAAGAAATGGCCATGAAAAGAGAGCGATGGCCCACGATCAGCGGGCCTCACAGATGATCGCACGGTGTCAGCCAATGGTGGTGAATCCCCAACAGGGATCCAGGCTGACCCTCTGAAGAGGGGTAGGAGAGCAAGCTCCAAGTGTGTCAAGCCTCGAATGCCCCATTGTATGGAGAATGAGATTTGCTGTTAAATTTGTGGATGCTCTTGTGTTTGTTGTTGGTTTTATTGCCAATGTGAGCAACATGTTTTGCAGTGGTTTTGTCATACAAATCTCGTTGAGAGGGCTGACCAATCTTGAAGCGGCTGTAGAAGAATTGTCAAGCTGCATTGGTCAAAACAGCACGCAGTTTCAGAGTTGGACTTGGGTTTTACTCTTCAGTTGTTCCCACTTGTTGTTCATAGCTTGGGCGACAGAAGGGAAGGCAATTCTTTCTGGGATCTTTGTTTCCTTTGAATTTGGATTGTGTTGGATTCCTTCATTTCTCTGGCCGGCCATTGCTTGTTTGCTTGATTTTGTTTGTTTGTTTACTTTTTGGTTTATTGTTGTGATTGCCTTTTTGCTTCTTTGCTTTTTGTTTGTTTGTTTTGCTTCTCTACCTTTCTGCTGTTTTGCTTGTTTGCTCTTTTGCCGCTTGGCTGTTTCTGTGTTTGCTTGCTTTGCTTCTTTGCTTGTTTATATGATGTATACGACAACTCGTGAGCATCACGGGGTTTGTCACGCCGCGTCGCACCTAGCGCGTGGCCCGAACCCCCCTGTTCAGGTCAGGTAGGGGGGCCCAGCTGCGCCGCAATGGCCGCACAGGAGCTCTCCCTGTGCGGATCGCTCTCGGGCTGGAAGATGCCCGACGTGGAAGTCCTGGCAGAGCTTGGATGGACAGTCACGAAGTTGGCAACGTTGAAGGGCTGCAAGCTGAAGGTCCTCGATTCGGTCCTAGACTCTGCCAGGAAGCACAAGGGCGATTTCGGCCAGGACGTGTCAGGCCTACGAGAGCTGGTCGAGCGCTGCAACAACAGGCCTGCTACGATCCACAGAGCTGATGCAAGCCGAGGATCACAAGATCTGTTGGAGGCCCATGTCGAGCACCAGAGGGAGAAGAGACGCAAAGTTCTCGAGGTGCTGGAGGGCCAGGAGGTTGCGGAGCGTGTCAAGTTGGTCGGGAGTGCCAAGGTCTACAAATGGCCAACCCGGCTTGGGAAGATGTTGCATGTGGCAGGGACAGACTTGGCACTACGCGAGGCAGCAGAGAAGGCCGAGAGAGATCGTTGGTTGGCTGTGCTGAGGGAGCTTTGCCAGTGGTCAGCCGATCCTCAGAAGATTCGCTGATGATGCGCATAGCCAAGGGGCGAAGACCGAACACGCTTCGCAAGCACGTTAAGACGTGGCAGAAAGTTGGGCAATGGCTGGAGTCGGCTTATGGTAAGCCTTGGCCTAGTCATCCGACTGAGTTTGCCGAGTACCTGGAGGCGATTGTGCAGGAGCCATGCGCTCGTTCTGCTCCGGAGGCCGCGTACAAGACGCTCATGTTCCTCGAGTACGCCGGCGAGGTGGAAGAGAGCAGTTTCATCCACCGGGCCTCTGCAGTGAGGAACGCATTGGAGGAGGTACAGCTCAGGTTGGCAACGACAGAGATCCGGCCATCGAGGAAAGCCCTGTTGCTGCCTTTGGCCATAGTGGCCGCAATGGAGGACATGGTGGTTGATGACGACCGGGTCCCATTCTCGAGGGCATACGCCTGGTACAGGCTCGTGAAGATTTGGGCGGGCCTCAGGTTTGATGACACAAAGGGGACGCCGAATAGGAGCATGGAGTTGAAGGACACGCACCTGCTGGGAGTCATCCACAAGTCTAAGACATCGGGCCCTGGCAAGAGGGTCTTGCTCCTCCCCTTCTATGTCAGCAAAGATGCGTGGGTCAGCCGTCACAACTGGTTGGCCGTGGGATGGAAAATTTGGAACCACATGGGCATGGAAGCGGGCATGTTGACCCGCGATTTTATGTTGACATGGCCCACGATGGACAGGACTGGATTTGCCCGGAGGATGGCAGACTATTCGACGGCATCTGCAATGTCTCAAGCATTGTTCAACGAACTTTGGGCGATGGATGGAGGCCAGAAGGTCACTACGTTGTTTCAAGGTGTGGGAACTTTGTGGACAGAACATAGCGAACGTGCAACGCTGAGAACTTGGGCGGCGTCTGCAAGGATCCCGCCCGACATCAGGAGGCAGATGGGTCGGTGGCGACCAGCCATCGACGAGGGCTATGAGCGGGCGACCCGCGCCAACATCCTGAGGAGCCAGAAGATTATCGCCTCGTTCCTGCGAGACAACCGAGGTCGAGGAGACCCCATGGACGAGTCAGCGGTCATTGAGGCCGTCAACATCAGGATGGCCTACTTGGGCTACCCCGACGAAGCCGTGGAGTGCCAGGCCAGATTGCTGGAGTCATTCCAGCCAGAGGAGCTGGCGGTGGAAGCGAGCTGGAGGCCCAAATGGACCTCGACTGGACCGGTGGTCCTGATCGAACCAGAGGACGATGAAGATGTGAGGGATCTGGCGAACGACACTGGCGACGGTGGCTTCGAGTCGGAAGAAGAGATCGAGGAGGTCCAGGGCGCTGGAGTGGTGGCTGCCGAGAAAGTGGCAGGCACCTATGTTGTGTCCATAGTTGGCCGTTCGCAAACGCGGACGTTGCACCGGGTTGGAGAATGCCACAGGCAGCCCGGGGTACATTATGCAAAATTCGAGATCCTGGGAGATGAACCTCCCGATGCGGGCAAGTATCATCGAGCTTGTCGGAACTGCTTTGGCAAAGATGCAGCCTGGGCAGAAGGATCTCCGGAAGATGAGAGTTCCGGGGATGTGACGTCGTCGGATTCGATGGAATCTGAAGTAGAGGCATCAGCGTGAGGGAAAGCCGACAAGAGCTCGCGCTGGAGGGGACACCTCTGCACAGACAGGTGTGCGGCATGAGAGTGAATAGGTGCTGCACACGGGTGTGGGTCAGACGGGTGAGCTTGAAGGTCGGGGGACTAAATTTGAGGTGATAGGTTCTGCTTTTATTTGGCTTGCTTCGATTTCGAGTTCGCACGTCGTATGAGTTACGTGGAGTGCATCGTTCACCCTGTCAGGCATGTTGCACATGTCGGCGGCTCCAGCACGCGGGCCGGGGAAGACGGTCGCGGCGGGCCGCGCGTCGAGCTCGCGAGGGAGGGCCTCCTAGCCCTCGTGAGGGATCATGGCAGGAGCAGCTGCACCGCCCGACATAGGGCACGACACCCCGGCAAGGAGAGCGAATGCTATAGCCTTGCTAGATGCAGACCTACATGGGCTGTTGCAGATCAAGGAAGTGAGTGAGACCCTCCAGGCCAAGCTCTCAGTGGCACGTGTTCGCACCATCAGCAGGCTCAGCACGGTTGCCGATGACAGAGCTGGCGTGAGAAAGTTCTGTGTGGACTCACTTGGCCTGGACGAGACAACAGATGTGATAGATATCGCATCGATGGTGGATGCGTGGGAGTCCTCATCAACCAGAA